CCCGCGTCCTTCTCGTTGGCGCACGGATCACCTTACCCTCACCTCCCCGCGTCCTCTCTGCGCAGGTCACCCTTACCCCTCACCTCCCCGCGTCCTTCTGCGCGGTCCACCTTACCCTCACTTCCCGCGTCCTCTTCTGCGCAGGGTCACGCCTTACCTCACCTCCCCGCGTCTCTCTGCGCAGGGCACCCTTTCCTCACTTCCCGATAGTCTCTCTGCGCAGGTCACCCTTACCCTCATCTCCCCGCGTCCTCTCTGCGCAGGTCACCCTTACCCTCACCTCCCCGCGTCCTCTCTGCGCAGGTCACCCTTACCCTCACCTCCCCGCGTCCTCTCTGCGCAGGTCACCCTTACCTACTCCCGCGTTCTCTCTGCGCAGGTCACCATTACCTCATCTCCCGCGTCCTCTGCGGCAGGTCACCTTACCCTCATTCCGCGTCCTCTCTGCGAGGTCACCCTTTACTCCCTCCCCGCGTCCTCTTCTGTGCGGTCCACGCTCACCTCACCTCCCCGCGTCTCTTGCGCAGCAGGCGCCCGCATCACCGGAGCCGTGCCGGGAGACAGCAGCTACGTGTCGAAGCCGGGAGACATGGTGGCGGCGCGCGTGCGGGGCGCCGACGGAGACGAGAACTGGATCCTCGCCGAGGTCGTCACCTACAACCACACGACGAGCAAGTACGACGTCGACGACATCGACGAGGAGCAGAAGGAGTGAGTCGTTGTCGTCGCCGGCGGCAACGGTCGCCGAGGAGAGACGGCCGCCGCCGTGAGTCGTTGTCGTCGTTATTGTTTTTGTCGTTGGTTTTGTCGTTGGTTTTGTTGTTGGGTTTGTTGTTGGTTTTGTTGTTGGTTTTGTTGTTGGTTTTGTTGTTGGTTTTATTGTTAGTTTTGTTGTTAGTTTTGTTGTTGGTTTTGTTGTTAGTTTTGTTGTTGGTTTTGTTGTTGGTTTTGTTGTTGGTTTTGTTGTTGGTTTTGTTGTTAGATTTGTTGTCAGTTTCGTTTTTCGTTTTATTGTTAGTTTTATCATTAGTTTTGTTGTTACTTTTATTGTTAGGTTTGTTGTTAGTTTTATCATTAGTTTTGTTAATGCTTTTATTGTTAGCTTTGTTGTTGCTTTTGTTATTGCTTTATTACGAGACGGGGCGATGCGTTTCGCGCGTAACGTTTGATGACACATCTACGCATTTCGCGTACGACAGCGCGTTTTACCCCGTCCTCCCGATTTTTAAATCACGGCTCATAACTTCTTCTCGTCACATCGCCGTGTCAAATCACTGTGTCGGTTTGAAGTATTCTTTGCATCGCATCCCCCCTCTCTCTCCCCTAACCTCTCTCTCCTAACTCCTTCTCTTCCTCTCTCAGTCGTTAGTTGGCTTTCGCGTGCGTTAACGCGCCTCCGCTACCTCTCACGTTCACGTGTTCGTATCGTGATGTCTTTCAGAAAGCACATGCTGAGCAAGAGGAGGATACAGCCGCTGCCACTCATGAGAGCCAACCCAGAGACGGATGCAGACGCACTCCATCCTAAAGGAACGGTGAGTCACCGACCCAACGTGCGCCTCTTCTTAGTTCCTTCTCTCCTTGTGGAGAATAGCGCTGGAAATCAAATTCCTCCATGATGTTCTACCTTTGGCAGCTCTTTCGGCCTCGTTCCATGTTTTAAACCCTAATGTAATCCTTTCTTTCTCCACTGTCCTTCGCCATGTTTCCAACGCGCGCCTAGGGGGATGAAAACTCGGCCCGTTGCAGGGGTACCGGCATCCCTCACCACCAGGGGGAGGTACGCGTGTAATATATCGAGTTCGCACGACGGCACATGTACAACCACATCGTGCGCAGTGGCGTTCGCGCAAACCTGCGTCAGATTCCTTTGACGCAACGTAAGCCGACGAAAAACCGACGTAAACCAACGTAAACCAACGTAAACCCACGTAAACCAACGAAAACCGACGTAAACCAGCAAAAACTCCGATGCGTCGTGTCGTTCCGCCGCGACGCGTGGTTGCCCCCGACGACGCCCCGACTCCATCCGGCAGCACGCGTCGGACGTCGCGGATCTCCTTTTGGCGGAAGGCGCGCGGGATCACCAGCGTTCGACGCGAGGTCTTTCTTTGCGGCCACGGTGCGGGGATTTAAAACCAACATATATGTGCCAATACTCACGATTCGTCATCAATAGTTCCACACGCATGATCATTTTGGTCCTGCAAAAGGGAAAACAAATTTATATATGTTAGAGTAAAAAACTTTACTTGACAAATCTGCAACCGACTGAATTCAAACACAGTACGAATAATGCGTAATAATTGAGGAAAACTGAGAGAAATGAAACAAAACCCACACTGGTCATGTAAAGGCACAGTTATTATTACCAAATAAAATTGAGTAAACCCAGTTCATTACCGAGAAATAGAATGCCAATCATAACAAAAGTGAGTAACACTAACAGCATAATTGAATATCTGAAACCTGCTTCATGAAAGATGCTAGCAATCCAACTGATAGTGATAGCATTACATATTATAAGACTATATGATATCAAACACGGCCGTTTGTCCGATCCATTTCTGTGTCACAAGCTTACCAACATTGGCAACAAGCTTAATTTGTCGATAGCTCTACCACGCCGATACAAATTTGAACTGTGCATGTTCGTACATGATAGTTGGAATTCAATGCCGGTCACAGTAACAATATATCAACTTCAAGTACATTTCATCTGATAAATACCAGTAAAAATAATCTGATAATAGTACTAACTAGTAGTGACTAGTGGTACCTAATGACTAATGTCAGTAATGATTTACATTATCACAATTAACCAAAATAAAAGTCAAATACATTTCCCAGATTGTGAACTGTGTCAATCTTTTAACGACTCTAATTATTGACGATTACGTTAAAAATCGTAAATACAAAAGGTATTAACAGTTATTTTACCATGTAAGGATAACCAGAATAGATCAACTTAAGACGACATGGCCTGCGCACAGTACCGGTACGAGTAAACTTGTACTTGTATTTGTAAGTGTAACTTGTAACTTGTACAAATTACTGTGAGGGTTTGCACCAATTGGACTTCCATCCTTATTTTTTTACCTCATCTATTCAACATGCTTATTTTCTCACGCGGGGTACATATAAAGCCTGAAAGTGTAAGATAACTATGCAATAACTAGCAGATGGAATAGAAACGGTGTCTTCTGATTACGCAACCTATGTCGCCGTGCTTCTGCAATGCCGAGGAAAGAAAACTACGCACCTGATCCAATTCTATATCGTCGTCGGATTCAACTTCATCTTGCTCAATATCTTCGGCTAGCTCTAGATCGAATACGGTGGCCATCGTTCTACATGGATCTAGGCAGGCTGGTCACCAATATTTGATAAAAAGCGCAGCCTCTTGCGCTTTATAGTAAAACTAAAAGAAAGGTAGAAAATGCACAGGTCACACTGTATGATTACTGACTCATGTCGTCATCGACTTGTGTGCACGCAAGATGCTCTTTTGGGATAGAGGGCGGTAATGCGCCGAAAGCTGTTGTTTTGTTTTGTGTTTTCCGATTTCTTTCGTTGTGAATGTTATGAAATAGCTAAACCTATAATTTTATAATTTATGAGTGTACTAATTGTTTCTTCAAGAATGAAAGAATAATACATATAGGACTATGTAGTAAGTTTGCCGTCGTATATCTACATAACCCACCACAGCATCATTTTGAGGCTGATGGTCTAATTCCGAAATTCGGTCAGCGGGTCAGTCATTCATTGACATTGTCATTGCTGTTTGATTCGCTGTGGCTATACTATAGTATATGCCCGGCAGCCGGGCACGGTCTTCGATTTCCTAAATGCCCGGCAGTTTCTAACCCTGACCCTAACCCTAATGCTAACCTTAACCCTGACCCTTGTTTACTTGAGGTAACGCTGAAAATTAAAAACTGCCGGGCATTTAGGAAATCGAACTCGAAGACCGTGCCCGGCACCCGTCAGATATAGGCCGAGGGTATTCGCCTGACCGTCGGGTGTGTATGTTGCTACTGTCTATTCGCCCGACCGTCGGGTGTGTATGTTGCTACTGTCTATTCGCCCGACCGTCTTGTTGATATCAAGAAATACAATTCTTGATATCAAGAAATATCCCTAATCCTAACCCTAACCATAACCCTTACCCTAACAATGGAAGCAGTGGCGCGGAAATTCTAAAAATGGCAATATCACGAGATCTCGCGCGAGGATAAACTCTCGTAGACTGGTTCATATCCTTATAGACTGTCGGGCGAATAGCTAGCCTTTCTTATACACCCGACCGTCGGGCCAATAGTCACTCTCTCAGATATATGCCGGCTGCCGGGCATATATATAGCCACTCTGTATTTGATTGGTGCCATGGCCCGGGCATGGCATAGGCATTGCAGGCACTGAGCCAGTTTATAGCATAACCATAAGTAATACTGCCACCTCTGTACGATGTTGGTGTGATTGTGATACATAATACTGTAGAATTTAAAAAAAAAATAATCATAACAGTCACAATAACAGCAGCTCAGTAAGTTACAAAAGTCAAAATGCAATATGGAAACTTTACACATTTAAACGGAAAAAAAACAGCCTCGCACAATTGCACCGTATATTTGGCGCATTCCAGGAATGATTCCTCAGTTACCTGTACAGTGTATTCATGAGTAGTAACATTACAAAAAAACCTCAAACTTGATATACCATGCTTGCAATACATTCGTTATTATTTGCAAGAATTATATACTTAGATTTTTATATTGTTACTTGAGTTTTTATTTCCATTTTACAGTTTCTTTTAGGTTATGCAGGATAGCTAGCGACAATTAATCAACCATGGCTTTAGCGAGCAACGAACCGGGAGAGCTAAAAATCAGGGAACTGTTGAAAGAGCTGCATCGACTCATTGTGCAGACGCAGGTGAGGTCATACTAGTGTCGATTCTCACCGAAACTAAAACTATTAAAACACTAAAACTAAACTAAACAAAAATATTTGCTATGAACTTATTGAGAAAATAAGTTGTCGTTAAAACAGTCTGGTAGTGTGACTGCGCTTCGTAGTCCGCGTCTTGTCTCCTGAACGGGTGCGATCTGGCATGGGTAATCCATTAACGTGTGATTAAAACGGCACGTTCTCGCAGCAAAATGCATAGGTAGACTTACTGTGAGCTCGTCTATGTTGCAAAAATTCACTACACCTCATTTGTATTGCTACTTTCATAACATTTCTTCACAAAATCTAAACAAGAGTACTTGTCTTACGAAAGTAGCGCCACAGTGATGTTTACACATCCGGGACACAGCCGAGCGATCGTTAACAGTTTTTTTTGCTATGGTGAAACAAGTTATAATTCATTATTATATGTTTGTTCAGTACAACATTGTGAAATTTGTTTAAATCACATGTTATCCACATTACATATGCGATCAGCAAGCAAATGTGTAGTGTTTTCTTTCCAGGAACTATTTGCGCTAGCGTACACCCTTCGCTCAACATAATTTATGTGTATCTATACGCCGAAATGACAGAAACTCTGTCGGACGTTGTTTTAAAATTCTCTAGTTCGGAGCAGATTTCTGGCTCAGTAAGAACATTTCGTGATATTTGGATACTGCAAGTACGCTCACAGTAGGTGTATGTAGGCTTATGGTTGCGAGGTTTATCCACTTTAAATCTTAAAGTTTAATTGATGTGCGATTTGCAGGAGGAGAGAACGAGGAGTAAAATCAAGTTGTGTGTTAGAATTGAAAATTTTAGCGAATAAAGAGGCATAACTAATAAAATACGGCACTTAATAACAATCCCTGACGCTCTTTTTTACAGCAATATGTTACCATTAAAACGAGTGTAAAGTTAAATTAATCCGAGTTGTAATCACAGAGAAATATCCATTTATACATCGGCTACTATGTCAGAAATCGAAACGGAGAAATCAGCGTTTTTCTGACGTCAGCCGCGGCTCACTACACGCGGGAAAGCAAAACGCTCTGACAGTTCACATGTAACGTTATATGGAGAAATGAGCATGTACACAGGTGGCACATAGTGTTAGCCATCGAATAAAGTTGAAAATGAAAAATCGGTAAAAATTTTCCTAAAACCTTGAGAGTATCCTTAATCAGGGCTACCGCTGACTTTCGCCAACTTCGCAAAATGCGATAAATAGCTAACAGTGGCAATTTCACTACACTAAGTGGCGAATACAATTGGCAAACGATGAAACTGCCCAGAAAATTACGACTCACTAATGAAATTGTCAAATTGCAGTGTCGTGTCGTAAAATGTTTTCGCACGCCTCTTTTCCCATGCCCATCACCTGTTTATGTCTTGCTTAAGTCACACGCTGTTCAAACTTCCACACGTGGAAGAAAATGTCAAACGTGTGATATTTTCTACACGACTCAGATCGAGGGATTTTGCATCCGCACACGCTGTGGAACTTGCTGCACCACTCTCCACGTGTGGAAGTTAGTGCAGCTAGTTCTATAGCGCGTGCGGCGGCAGGCTTTAGCGCATACGAAAGAGTGAACAGTGGCTGTAGTTTTCCATTGGTGGCTAAAAACGGACTTTTGTGGTTCAAGTCTTGGCTAAAACTTTTAAAACATCCAGAGGGAGCCTTGTTAATAAAGAGAATGCGAAGTTAAATCCCAAACTAAAGCAGCACACGACTGACACGAAACTATTGTCAAACTAAAGTTGAGTGAGTATGTTTATCGTGTGGTGGTTGCGCGAAAAAGCATTTGTGCTCGGCTCAAAACGTAGTCGTGCTGTTTTAGCCGGCAATGTGTCATTTATAACATAAGAGCATCGGAGGGAAGTGCTTTCAATGTGTCAACCTCGGGGGCCCATTGTAAGCGCGATCCCAGAGTAGGGACTGAAATTAGTAGCATTATGCTGGGAGGAAACAGGAAATTTCGCTAGGATTCGCGACTGTGCTAGAGGCGGCAATAATTTCACGGCGGTTTAGGAAAAAAAGCAAACATTATTGTCGGTATGTGCTTTGTGACTCTCGGTAATATTGATCAAGTCTGTGTGTTCTCTCTCTCTCTCTCACTCTTTCTTTCTTTCTTTCGCGAACTTGCTTTTTCTCGTGCTTTTTTTTCTCTTCAGATAGCCACGCGCGATGACGTTGTTGTCCTGGTAACATTCCATTTTGCCTACTCCCATTTCGTCTACGTCCCATTTCGCCTACACCCATTTCGCCTACTCCCATTGAGTCTACTCTCAGAATCGGCAATATTCCCACTTCGCCTACTTCCATTATGCTACTGTATTTTCTATTTGTGTCAAGTTGTGTTCTCATTATGTTTTACTATGTTTTCTTGTTCCTGTAGTTCAAATGCCAATCAAAACCATATTTTATTATTTATAAACGATTATTTAGTGAACAAACCGATCGTAGACGAAATGGGAATGGGGTAGATTTTGAGCGTAGACGAATTGGGAGTAGGCGAAATGGGTGTAGGCCAACTGGAAATTTTGCTGTAGGCGCAATGGGAATTTTGCTGTAGGCGCAATGGGAATTTTGCCGTAGGCGAAATGGAAGTAGGCCAACCGGGAATAAACCGTCGTCCTTGCTTCATGTTTTCCAGCTGGTGATGGCGCTCTACCCGCAGACGACGTGTTTCTACCGGGCGCTCATTGAAGAACCGCCGAAAACCGTGAGTGATTCCGAGCGGGGAGTGGGTGGTGGTCCCGCGAAAGGGGGGAGCGGAGGTGGGAGGGAGTGTGGAGGGGTTGATTTGACGGCGGTATCCAGAATGGCGGAGAATTCGGTCGCGATCCGACGGATTTTTACCGCTCGTTTTTTAAAAAAAATAAAAGTGCTTCATCGTGTTTTCGTCCGAGGGGTGCCGAGAAAAGAATCGCGGCGTGCGATCGCGAAAGAAAGGGAGCAGAGAAAGTCTGAGAGTCTCTCTTCCCCCTCCTGAGATCCATGTTATCGATCGTTAGGACGTCGATCTGATGCTACGTGACGACTGGTGCGCGCTGACTCGCTCCCGCCTCATTAATGCGCTTGTTAGCGACAAACCGATGCTGAATCGTGGCGGAGGGAGGGTGTGTGGAGAGCTCACCATCGCTCGCTCCTGGTTTGCGAAGGGCGTGGGAAGCATCTCGAGCGGGATTCGTGAAGCGCCGCCGCGCATTCGGACGCGACGCCTGGCTCATGATCGCGCGAGCTGCGTTAACGAGCGAATTAACGAGCATTAGCAGCAGCTGCCGCATTAGGCCAAAAAACATTAGTTCGTTTCTCAGGCCCCCGCTGCATCGGCTGTTTGGTTCCGCATTAGCCCTTTTTTTATTTCCCCCTTCCCAAAACCGCATTCGAACAAATTGACCTGAGAAACGAACAATTAATTATTTTTGGCCTTAGTAGGTGGCAGTTGTCGCTTCGATGCACCGTGCGTATCAGTGAAGGTGTTCTGGCCCAGGCAAATGATAATAAATCATTCTAATTAATGGTAATGATACTTTTCTGGTGGGTCAATTACATCTGGTTTCGCCCTAATTACTAATTAAAGACTTAGATTTAGCCTAATTATTATGCTAGATATTTTCACACTCATGCTTCAGTAATCTAACCCCCCCCCCCCATACTAAGTCTAAACTAAAATGTGTAGTTTGGCCTCCGATCTCTCGATCAGTCTCTCGACAATTACGTCTGGTTTCGCCCTAATTACTAATTAAAGACTTTTTACGCCATAAGATGTCGTACTAGATATTGTCACACTATTACGCTTCGGTCGCTAACCCCCCCGACTGAACTGAAATGCATAGTTTGCTCCCGATGCTAAAACGCCTCCCTGATTTCAAACTCCTATGAAAGGGTCTCGGCCGCATTATACTAGATATTGTTACACTCTTACACTTCAGCTACCTACTCCACCGACTAAACTAAAACGCTTTGTTTGGCCCCCATGATTTTCAGACTCCTACGGAAGGGTCTTGGCCTCATCGAACAGATCAAGGGTCTGCGCAACGAGCGGAGGCTGGCCGCGAGGTACGCCAGTGGCGACCGTCCGAAGCAGACACTGCGGCGAGGCGTGCTCATGTCCATGCTGCAGCAGAACGCTCGCACGCTGCCGCTGTGGATCGGAAAGCCGGGCGACAGGTACGTTGGTACAGGTGCGTTCTTCGTCCTCCTGAGGGGGGGAGTGGTCCCGTCTTTCCCCCTCGCGATCCTCCTGCTTTAATGCTGTCGCTGCCGCGTGATCAGTTCCCGTTTCCCCTCGCGATCCCCTCCTGCTCTCGCGCGTGATTCGTCAGGATCTGGTCGAAGTCCGACATGTCGTTCGTGGCTCGCGGTGTTTCGCGTCCATTCCTACCGATTACACTAATAATGAATAATTAATAATTATAATTAATTATAGTAATTAATTATGATAATGACCTATGTACAGGACGTCTGATCTGTCGTTCGCGGTGTTTTGCGTCGGGAAAACATTGGGAAGCGTCCGAGTATTTGCGATTTCCGTAAATTCTTCTCACTGCGACGGTACCCAGGTGTGCGGATTTCGAATTAATTTAGAACGCGAAATCGATTGTTCGTAGTCTTTCGGTCGAGTTTGACGTATTTTAAGTTAAATTAAAAGCTCAATTTTCAACTTTATTTCACGTCGTTTATGAATTTCATGGGCGTTACGTTTAAATTTAACGCTTAGCGTTAACCGTTAACAGTTAAGGGGCTTTATATTATGCGTGTAATTAAACAATCAATCTTAAGTGGCTCGTTAATTTTCGTCTAATTAATTTTCGTTAATTTAATTAAGCGTCGTTAATCGGACGTCTCTGCGTGTTCAGGCTGAATACCACCCCCTGATAAAAATGCATCCTCCCCCATAACCCTCTCTCTTCTCCATTGACAATCCGCCTCGTGACATCTTGGTTGCGAGGTTTATCCACTTTAAATCTTAAAGTTTAATTGATGTGCGATTTGCAGGAGGAGAGAACGAGGAGCGAACACAATCTGACAAACATCGCCAAGACTCACGAGCGAATGCAGAGCGAAACCAAGAGTAGGTCGTAACATCATCCTCGCTCCGAATTCAACGTAGATGCGTAGAATAGTTGCTTTTTAAATTTATTTTTTAGGGTAATTATCCATAATTCCATATATATACGTACTGTTACAATGAATTTTAATTTTAAATTCATGAAGTTAGATAACTACCAAGGATATACACACAAGAAGTATGACTAGCACACTTATTTATATATTGTGGTCCTTGCTATATTACTCCCAATAATAATAACACTACCATCAGCACTTTAAACTATCGAAATATACAAATTTGTTCATACTATCCTCGCTAAGGTTTGCTTCTATTTTCACCCACCAGGTGGTGCCACTGTGTTGAGTTGGTCATAGGCGTGCACGCTGAAAATTTATTACCGGTTATTATCAATGTTGGCATTGATTGTAATAAATATAGGATTGAATGTGAGACGTACACCTGATTGAATTAAACCTGATATCATGTGTTCTATACTTGGTTCAGTCTCACCGTACTACAAGTCGAAGCTACGTGGGTTGTACAACACGGCTATGCAAGATGCAGAATCGGAGGCTGAGTGAGTAACGATAGAATCGGTCGTTAATAATTAAGCAATAGGTTGGGATGGAGATAAGTGAGTAATGAGCTATTAACTCATCGTGCTGCGGCATCATCAGTGTAATATCTCATAACATTATTTTAAAAAGACTTCTTAAGTGTAGAGTAGATATTATACTAGGTATTGTTACACTCTTGCACTGTAATGAAGCAGAAATCATGAGAGCGGAAATTAATATTGAAATGTAGGAATAGGGAGCATAGGCGATAGTGGCACGAGTATTAGAGAAATTAGTTAGAGGGACGACGATTATAGAAGCGTCCAACAGCACACTGAATAATTAACATCGCAACGCTTAGAAGATTGGCAATTATGCCAACGGCAGATGGGCGATTAGTTTAGAG